CTGCTGTCGAGTGACACCGCTCCAGAAGGCGCAAGTGGTTGACCTGGTGAAGAGGAACAAAAAGGCGGTGACCTTGTCGATCGGAGACGGCGCCAACGATGTCTCCATGATCAAAACTGCCCACATTGGAGTCGGAATATCGGGTGCGTTCTCAAACTTTCGGTTTCGATTCATTTTGCTCTCAGGAAGGGTCTATTACAGGACAGGAGGGTATGCAGGCTGTGCTGGCATCTGACTACTCAATAGGACAGTTCCGCTACCTGGAGCGACTTTTATTGGTCCATGGCAGGTACAGACCGCGGCTTTTGTGGTGCCGGTCAATCATTTTTGCATCATGGGTCCCGCCTATCTGCCGCGCCGCACCACATGCGTGGCGCGGCAGACCAGCTGAGTACTGTGATTGTTCGACACTGGTGGTATTGATGTTTTGCATATGCTTGTTGCCACTATGATGCAACCATATCGGAATGAAAGTAAAAACACATAGAAAAGCCGTGGAAAACATAAGGAAAACATCACTACCGCAACGCCTGTGCCGCGCCGCATAGGGGTCCGGCGCGGTAGGCCACATGGGCGGTTTTTTATGATGTAAACCAGGATTTGATCTCATGAAGATGGTGAATGAACCGAGTTCTTCCCTAGCTCATGGACACCATCATCTTAGAAAACAAAATCACAAAGGAAAACTATGGAAAACATAAGCAAAATCTCAGTGCAGGTAACGTCTATGCCGCGCCGCGTAAGTGGTGCGGCGCGGCAGGCCAGATAGGTGGCATTTTGTGGTGTAAAAATGATTGACCGGGACTGTACGCGGTTTTAATATCTCTCCGTGCTCTCCATGTATTCTCCGCGAAAGAAGTCTTTTGAAGATGGTCGTACATACGAATGGCCAAGTTCCTGAGGTACTTCTTCTACAAGAACTTTGCTTTCACGTTGACAAACTTCTGGTACTCTTTTTTCTGCGGGTACTCAGCTCAGGTAACGAAATTTATAATACTTCTGTAGAGCAACACCCTCTCCACCGGTTACTTTTCTCTTCCAGACCGTCTTCGACGCTGTGTTCATCGCCTGCTACAATCTTTTCTTCACTGCTCTGCCAGTGTTGGCGATGGGGTCTCTTGACCAGGACGTGGACGACACCTATAGCCTACAGTAAGTATAAACGCAGAGTATACGCGGTTCAGCGAATTTCTGACTGTTCAGATACCCCAAATTGTACCTGCCCGGCCAGTTCAACCTCTTCTTCAATATGAGGATCTTCATCTACTCCGTCCTCCACGGCATGTTCAGGTGGGCACTTCTGTACTCCCCGGAGCTCTGACACTAGCTGCTGAACATGTGTTCTAGCTCGCTCGTCATCTTCTTCATACCGTATGGGACGCTGTTGAACGGTGCCGCGTACAACGGCAAGGACCTGGACGACTACTCGACGCTGGCGTTCACCACCTTCACGGCGCTGATCGTCGTCGTCACTGGGCAGATCGCCTTCGACACCGCCTACTGGACGGCGATCAGCCACTTCGTCATCTGGGGATCGTTGATCTTCTACCTTTTGCTGGCTTTCCTCATCTATGAAGGTACTAGCCCCCTCCTCTTTGCAACCTCTTCCTTTTCTGCACTGTATCATCTGATTTTAGGACTCCCTGTGTCTCTTCTGGCTAAAACCTCTTCATCAGTCTCTTACGGAGTCGCCTTCAAAACGATGGCGACGCCGCAGTTCTGGTTCTCCATAGTCATGGTACGTAGGAATCCCTGGGTCGTCCCCCTGTCCAATTTCTCTCCACCCCCTTCCCTTTCTTCCTTTGAGATAGTAGCTTCCAGGTTTCGGTCATACTGCTGCTTCCGGTGATGTTGAATCGGTTCTTCTGGCTGGACACGCACCCGTCGTTCGCTGATCGCCTCAGAGTCCGTAAGAAGCTGGGCAAAAGAGCAGTCAGCGTCAAGGACAAAGACGATAAGAAGTAATCCCTACCCCTTTGAATAAGCTGCCACACAGCTAGGAAGGTTTTGGGACTGTACGTACCAATGAATTCCTTGCAGACCTGCCTTCACACGGTCCGCAGCCACACGTCGCAGCGTCCGCGGCTCCTTGCGATCTGGATATGCGTTCTCCCATACGCAAGGATTTGGAGATCTCATCCTCAAAGGGAAGCTCTTCAAAAACGTGGAGCAAATACGGAACAAGAACGGGTGCTGTTACTTTCCTTTTTCTTCCTCTTCTTACTTACAGTTTTGAAAAGGCAGTGATGTTACAGTTTACGTTCGCCTCGCAATGGCCTTACTCCTGTGGTTGAGACTCCTCCGATGATGACTCCAGTGCCTAACAATGTGGAGGTATATCCTTTTTGCTTGGGAATGACTGAGTGATGCTTTCGGTACAACCTTAACAGAAAAAAATTAATAATGTAGATGATGACTCCGCTTGTAAATTCGGAATTCTATCTTTAAAAAACGTCAGAAATGGTGTCTGCAGGCTAACCTATGAACATGGTACTTGGCAAATCGAGTAAGTGAAGTTACAAGGCAAGACTCAAATAATTTGATTAATTTTTGTTGACAATCCTGTCAAGAACACTTTTCTGCAACTCTCAGTTCCCTTCCCTTTTCGACTCCCCATTCAAAACATTCAAAAACAGTTTCGATACTGAATAGCTCGAACGACTGCCAAAAGCAGCTGTTTTGTGAAGCACATTGGCGTCAGTATTATGAAAAGACAAAGTTTTTCGTTACATTCCCTTTGGCAGTGATGCTATACAGTGCAAGATCGAGGTTCTTTCAACGAATGAATGAATTATACGGGAAGAAATCTTGGAAGAGAACACTTTGATTTTAAAAAAAGCTCTAAAGCGTTGAAACCAACTTGTGAAAGGACGTATTTGTCAAGATCCATAATACTTAAACCCTTGAGAGTCGTCAGATTTTGGAAAATCCAGATTTGTCCGATGTAAAGTACTTTGCTTTTGCGACTACGGTTTCACTCTAATAACTTTGAGACAAAAAAAAACCGTAAGAGAGAAACTAGAAACGAGCCCGTGCCTGCATCTTGACACTCTGATTGTCTGCACATCCACACGTTTCATTGCCATCACATTCCTCATTCTCGATTAATGCTACGGTGTAGTGCGACGTGCAGGCCTAGAACACTGCAGAATTTTCTGTATCATTTTCCTGTAACTACAAGCATAAACCTATTCCTAAACGAGCAGTGCGCAGAATTTTTTAAAATAGGGACTCCGGTATTAGGCCGGGATTGAGTACGTGCGTGAGCTTCCTGCTCTTTCCTTTCCTTTCGTTGCACCAAAACCCAGTAAATATCCATAAGCTGGATGCAGATTTGCCGAATTGCTGTCACTCACCCATCAGTAGAAAATCATGTGGCGCTCTCAAACTCTTCTAGCTGTGCCTGTTTCAGATGAGTCCGAGTTCCGCTGGAATGCCGGTGATGAGTCTCCCGTACGAGCCCGTCATGCGTCAGCCACAGCCACAGCCCCAGCCCCAGCCCCATTGTCTCACCGTCAACGATGATGAATGGTGAGTTTCTGGAAGCAGCCCAATAAACAGCACCCTCTTTAGATATAACACGTAGCGTGAGGTGGTACGCACTGTTCTAGTGCCTTCTGTAGGCCGGGAAAGCTCGGTGTACAGGAGGCTGCTGTAATCTTTGTGTTTGTGAGTGTAGTGTTGTGATTGTGCACAGGTCCGTCGGCGGAGATGTGTCCGGTCTGCGCGGCACGGTGATTCGTGGAGACGGCTACCTGCCCGGAGCTCCCCCAGGATCCTTCGCGGACAGCCCTCTCTCGCAGGACGCCTTCCGGCGCAGCGGAAGCAGGTCGCGGAGGAGGGAAACCGAGGTATAGCTGTGTGGCCTCCTTGGTTCGGTAGTGTGTAGAGGGTTGTGCTGTTCGTTACGTGTTCTTTCGTTGGTGTGGCTCTGTTGTTCGGTGCATGTTCTCGGCTCGTGCTTTCGCTTTTCGCAATGCGCTTCCGCTTTCCAAGATTATGATCCTCTTTTCTTATGGATCTGTTACCACAGGTCGAAGAAGACGACGTAATTATTGAACGTTTCTGAGCGCGAATCTCAACGAGGAAAGAGCTGCCCATGTCTCTCTGTCTATCTCCCACATTCCTTTCTTTCGAAAGTCATCTACGTGTCGCCACGAGTCATCGCATTTGCTGTTGTTGTTTTGTTTTCGCCTGTTCTCTATGCTCAACCGCCTATGCATTGCTCTAATTATTGTTGTTCCCTGTGCAATGATTGTTCTGTTTGCCCTCATCATACCGACCTCATTCCCGGTGTTCCGCCCCACTTTCTAGTTTTTCGTTGTTGTCTCAAAAGTCGCAGCCTCTCTCGATGCGGCTGCTAGAATATTGTAGAAGTACATATTGTTTACAGAGTAAGCCAAATCTTTGACTGTGATATGTTTGGGTCCAGGAGTGCCGTATCTTTTTCAATTTGGTCAATGTTTTTCATGATTTTGATATAAATTTTGTCTTCTTATTGCGTTGCACAGAGACGTACCAGGGAACTAGTGCTGCTCCTATGCAGCAGACGTATCCTAAAGAGTCATAGTCATTCTAATTTGACATTTCCATGTAGTATTCTTGGCGAAACCGACATCTAAACATTCAGAAAAGGGCGTGAACCACAACAATGCGGAGTTGCCAAGATGAAGAACACTTGATGGAATCAATTTCAGGTCCTCTTCCAAACTCAGTCATACGGATTTCCCTACTCGTTGTGGGACTACGACATCATCTTTTGTTGAGCAACCTGTGGTTTCTGAAAGGTTGAGAAATTATGAGTGGGGATGCCGAGTATTGATCTCGCATTGGAGGCAGAACCTATGGAAAAATTGTGTTCGTGATCATCATGATCAGAGGACCTGGAATTATGTATAGCCTTAAATTTCAAAACTTGAACTTCTGTTGTAGTCCCAGGTTCCCAACCTTGATGAGCGCGAATGCGTCCACTGATTTTGTCCAAACCAGTTTTAGTATGTGTTCATTCCTGAAAATATACTAAAACTGGAACAATATAGAGAAGATTAGCTAGCTCCTGCGCAAGGATGACACGCAAATTCGTGAAGCGTTCCAGACTTACCAGGAACACTTTTTCGGGCGTCCCCTGCTAGCCCATTTAAAAAAATTAATTACAGAGTTCAAGTAGCACAGAAAAGTGGGATGGGTGAAAGTGCCAAGTATGGAAAGCAAGTGTTACCCAGGTGAGAGACACCCAGGGAAGAGGTGTTTTACCTAGAATTTTATTCAAAATTGAGTAAAGACTAATCTAGGTAGACCCCTTTCCGCCACTACAGCCATGCAATGAATTCAGTAACTTACTGGGACAAGTTTTACTTTCCGTCATAAAAAAAAGCCGTAAAAAAAGCACGTTCGCACATTTTGTACCTACTAGGACAGAAGAGATTAGCGGAGTCATACTAGGTTCACAGTAGAGCGATTTATCGCACAGGAGTTTTGGAAGCGATTGTGGTTGTGGTTCCGCTGAGGCAACCGCTGCGATTGAGGAGCGATTTATGAGGCGATTCAGCGGTTAAGACGTATTTTGCGAATAATTATGCAGGTATTTTTGACAGTCTCAAAAAAATTTGTGCAGTTTAACTGCGGTAAAAGC